CCCTTCTTTTCTCTGAATTGGGTTTTTATAATCCAATGGCTGTCTAGGAAAATTTGAAAGGCCAGTATATTGAGGCCTCCTGGTACTCTTCAAGGTTGCCATGAAGAACAGGTACCGTGGAACTTGATGCATCTGTGGGGTGTGCGGACAATTGTTCAGTCCTCCTAGTTATACTGAACTAGTATAGCACCAAGTTAACAGCATACCTGCCTCACAGACAAAAATTGTCTTTTCAGCGGTCTTCCAGGCAGTTCACTGAAGGCCCACCAGGCCCTAAGAAGAAAACCAGATCAATTGGCTCTACAGTGGATCAGGTATGGTGGTTCCAGCTGGGCTTGTGTGCATTTAAAGTAGTGAGCCATATTGCACACCTGTTTCTAGGGCTAAAGAACTAGAAAATCCCATGTCCTGTCAGTATTGCTGTCACTAACTGCATATTTCTCATTACAGGGAAATGAATCCATAGTAGCAAAGACAACTCTCATGGTCCCCAATGACGGTGGCCCAATCGAAGCTATCTCTACTATCCAGACTGTGCCTTACAGTGTGAGAAGCCGCAGGAAGAGTGGTAGGTGTCACGTCTCCATTTGTCCTAGTCCTGAAGCAACTACTCTGTAGGCCAGAGGCTACCCTGAAATGTTAGTTACCTCCCTCCAGGAGCCAGGTGGCTGCTTGTCATTTGGAATGCACTTGCTTTGAAGCAAAGGTTACACAGGGGGTGATTCCATTCAGTCAACACCCTTCCTCCTCTGACTTTCAGGTCCTTTGCAGCCTTGGAGCAGTGAGTCGAGCATGGGTAGTAAGCAGCTGGAATCCAAACTGGAGACTGACGGCTCTGCCACTCCACAGAGCAATGGGGGAGTGAGGCTGCATGAATTTGTTTCAAAGACGGTAAGTCTGCAGGCAGGAAAAACTTGAAAAAGTGTCTCCTTCCACTTTTAAATGTGCCTGGGATATCAAGCTATTGATAAGAGTCTACCAGCTATTATGTCTCAAGTCAATGTTAACTGTACTGGTTACCTGCATGGAGCAGGGAATATGTTATCCTCTGTGGTTATCCGGTTTAAGTCCTGCTGAGTTACTACATCACACTAACCTCTTCCCATCTGTATGCTCTGAATCATTAGGTTATCAAGCCAGAATCGTGTGTTCCATGTGGAAAGAGAGTAAAATTTGGAAAAATCTCTCTGAAGTGCAGAGACTGCCGTGTGGTCGCTCACCCAGAGTGTCGGGACCGCTGTCCTCTTCCCTGTATCCCGACCTTGACAGGGACTCCTGTCAGAATTGGAGAGGTAAGTCTGTAGGGTGAGCTCGGGCAGTACAGCTGCCAACACAAATGGGCTAATGTTTGGATGGAGTTAGAACGTGCTTAGGCTCCAACAAGTCTGCTTTCTACAGAAGAGCTCCTTTGCGTTTTATTATGCAGCTCTGAGCAACAGGAGCTCGCTAATGTATCATTCAGTAACCAGGGTAGTGGGTGGTAGGGATGCAATGTTAGGAGGGTGTTGAGTTGTGAACGTGGCAGCTCTGGGTAAGCAATCCTGCAGCATTGTGCTGATGGATGTAGTGTTGCTCTTCTCTGGGCTGATGAAGAAGAAACAATGCTTGTTTTGTAAGCCTAGATCTCACTGAATTCCTAAGAGTATTTTTTATGTCTTGAAGACTGAGTGTTTTTTTGTTTGGTGTGTTTTTTTTTTTTTTCCCCCTTGTGCCTCTTAGGGGACCTTGATGGACTTTGTCCCTTCTACTCCTCCAATGATCCCTTCCATCATAGTGCACTGTGTTAATGAGATTGAGCAGCGAGGGCTGCATGAGGTAAGAAGAAAATGAGGTGTAAAACAGTGCTAATGAAATGGGTTGTGGTGTTAGGGAAACAAATTGTTAACCCGAATATCTCTTATTTATGGTGTGTATAGTGCTGCTCAGTGGGTGACTGTGTGAGTGAGCAACAGTGTCTGGGTAGAGTGCTCAGGTGTGGAGAGAAAGTGGGAGTGGAAGAATGTCAGCTTTGTACGTGCAGTTGATATTCTGCCTCTAATGCTTTCTGTTAACAGATGGGCCTTTACCGGATCTCTGGCTGTGACAAGACAGTAAGGGAGCTGAAAGAGAAGTTTCTTAGAGCAAAAAATATTCCTTTGCTCAGTAAAGTGGATGATATCCATGCTATCTGTGGCCTTCTCAAGGACTTCCTACGCAGCCTGAAAGAACCCCTTCTCACTTTCCGGTTAAACAAGACTTTTATGGAAGCTGCAGGTAAGGAGTTGCTAAATGACATCTCCCACTCTTTCACCAGGCTTGATGGTCACCGGT